ATTGCAGCTCCCATAGACACTAGCGTCAAAGTTCCCTTAATCATGTGCTTTAATTTACAGCTAAAGGGTGGCGCTGATGGCATGCAAGCACCACCTGGCCACAGGTATATAGTTGAGTGGCAGACCCTAATAAAGGACTTGATGTTGCTACAAGACATGCTCGTGTTATAACTCAGCGTCTTTGCAGGGGGGTGGGGGTAGCTTGCATGATGTGAGACTAAGTACTGCCTAAAAGTGTAAAGTCAGTGTCCCTTATGGCCATGGTGACAAACATGGAATGCACAAAGAATGAGGATGAGACAAGACTGCCGGGCAGTTGTAAGTTAGCGCTAGTCATCTGCTTTTGTCTAATTTTTTTGTGTTGCCGTTTATTTACTTGTGCACCATTGAACGTCATGGCACCGAGGCTGCCAAAGACATAACCATTGCTGCTACAGAGCTGGAATTTAGCCGTGAGCATGTCTCTCCTTATGTTGTGTCTTCCATTTTGATGCACTATTACGTGATCGTGAGTAACCAAGTAGACCAAACTTTGGCCCCACAGAATTATGCTGAAAGATCACAAAATGCTGACCGATCACTCACCAGTGTGCAACCCCTCGTGTCTCAGTAGGTAGCAGCAGAACGTGAACAGCTGGCGGCAGAACCTGCATGGAAATCTTGGATTTTCCAAAGGCTTCCTACGAGGCTGATGCTGCTGCTGTGTTCATGTGGCTATGGTTGGAATAGTGACCGCCACCTGCAAGCCACAGAAATAGCCTTCGACTGGATATCTAATACAACCGTAACAACGGCTACAATGAAAACAATTTTGTTGAAACAACTACACAGATGATGTTGTAGCTTCTGCTTAACAGAGATATGGGAATGACAATTTTTCTAGACTGCATCAAACACAAATTTAATAGTGCCAGTATTGAACAAAATTCAGTAGTCTTCAAATACTGGACAGCCACCGTTACAATGCTGTCACAGGATGTAAAAGAGTAGACACTCCTTCTGCATTATAAGCCATGTTGTACATACCAAGTGTATCATACACGGGCAACTCTGCATTGCAATAAAAGCTAATAATATACAAAAAACTTAATGTGCATCTATGCTTTTATGAATATATTAATTGCACACCAGAAAGGTCCATACAACCATTGCATTTCTTGACCGGTGTAAGCATCATGGCATGGCAAAGACAGTGAGAACATGCAGTTTGCAGCCCACACTAATGGCCAGTACAGCAGGACTCTCAAAGTGAGAACACTGTGTAGCAGCTGTGTTAGCTTGTGTCAGTAACATGGTAAGAGACTCCAGTAGAAGACGGCCGAGCTCATGTGATGATGTCACTAACAAATGAACAGCATGTGCACAAAAAGCCACAGTCACTTTAGAATTTTTCTGTAAATGACTATCACCAAATGAATCCAACTAACGAATAACCCAGGCAAAGTACAGGGGACATTAGTCATTGTCATTAACTGTAATATATTGTTGATGACGTAAATAAAAATGAATTAAAGGTTGAGTGACAAATCACCCTTCCCGCCGGTGGGACCCCGACCAACAATCTACGAATTTTGCATACAAGAGAAGGCGTTTTTCCATTCACTTCGCTAAGTACTTCAGTAATTAGAAAGTTGTGGGTTTGAATTCCGCCGACATGAAAATGTACACATTTCACCAACTTTCATTCGTTTCTATGTAGGTCGTAACTACAATGCTACAAGGAATAACAACGCCCTGTGCTTTCCTTAGCTTAGTTGTCAGTCCAATTTACTCGATTGAGTCTAACAAGACAAAAAGCCACTTGAAAACGTTTCCCTTCCTTCATGTGTAAATGATTGCATTGGGCATGTACACAGGCACTAATTGTGATATAAAACGGGGCTAAGAGGATAAAAGAGCCATGACAACCAATTTCATATCATAATATGTGTTACGTGGTCAATCCTAGTGCATTCACAAATAAGCTGGCAAAATTTTAACGCATTTGGTTGAGCACATAATTTATAATTGAACATTTTTATAAACACACACGCAGTCTGGAAGTTGTGCAACACTGGCACAGTCGCAAGCTGTGCGAGCGTCTGCATTCTGAAATTGAACGATTTGGGAAGACGACAGCTGCCCCTCTTGCTGTACATGACGTCACACATGGTATGGCTCTGATTGGCGGTGGGCTGGGTATTTTACACCTGGCGACTTTTCGCGCTTGTATTTTTAAACTGAAATGTTCCTTTAAGGCCCACTATCTGTATAGGCGTAATAGACCCTCTGGTGATAGTTTTCACTGAAAACCAAATTGTTGAGTGACTGTCTTATGGCTCCTTGATAGAGCTGTATCACCCCATATAGCTTGTTCTAGCTTCGCCCCATCTGTGCTGTTTTTTTCAAAAGTTACGACACTCACCACTTGGATGTCATTACTCACAGAAGACATCCTCGGCTCCTTCTCGTTTGCCGTCAATTTCTCATAGTTATTTATCAGAGTTCCTGCCGCGTACAATTTTTCACGCCGCAAAAGCGAACTCGAGTAGTAAGCCGTCATTCAATAGGTCTACCTCCTGTTTTGTTTCTTGCGATGACTTCGTTCTCAGAATCGTACGCAAACTCACTTATTTCCCCCCCTACCCTGCTACAACAAGCAAAAACAAACAACTTCAGTACAATGATAAATTGCAACAGCACATACTAATTCAAAACCAAGCGACTATGATCAAAGCAGAAACATGTGGCAAAAGAGCAACAGTGGCACAAAGGCATAATATACATACTACATGCACAAACACAAGAACTGCTATGAGCTTAGCCTTCAAAATATAAAAGTCGGACAGTAATAAAAATGAAAGAAATCCAGTCAGCTTCCATCTTTTGCTCTTACTACATAAAGTAGTTATGAAATGAATGTTCATAACAAAAGCTGGTCGTGCAAGCACACATTCAAGGGAAATCAATACGCTATGTTGCACCAGTTGGTGCATTGTTACTTGAAAGACAAAGTTGCAAGGTCAAATTGAGAAGAACCCATAAGATACAGAATGAATGTCAACTCACAACTCAATTGGTTGGCGTTCTTTCTGTCTTTCCTACATTCCGCTCGATTTTAACGTCGCGCCACATGTTTCAAGTAATGATGGAACCCTAACTTTTTCTACAAACTAGCCATCAGCCAAGCCAACTTTTTGTCCTTATGATCTTGAATCCAGTCTGAAGCGACTCGGGTCTGATAACGCGATGTCACAGATTAGTGAAATTCATGCTACAAGCTGAATGTTTTCTGGCGAGGACCTCTAAGAATGTCAGGACCTGCAATATAAGCATTTCCATGTTGTGGTCATGTGGAAACGCAGGATTATAGCACACGGCATTTCTTGGTTTTTCATACTATCAAGGAAATTCGCCATGTACAAAGCGCGTGATCTAACAGGCTTCTACAGTGAGCCCTATTCAGCTGCAACACAAATCACGTTTCAGACAGTGCGAATGAATTAAGCCCAAGACATCATAGCACAGTACATAGGGCCTTGCACCAAACATGTTTCAGTCAATGTGTGGTGTCGGGAATTTCGGTAATACAACACAACGATCACCGTTAAAACGGCCCCAATAATACTAGACGCACACCTACACAGCGCGTGATCGGTCACCTCGCTGCGTGAATTATTTATAATGCTCTACGACAGGGTCATGCATTTCGTAATTATGTGCGTTGTTTCTGCAAGCTTGAAACAATTATATCAACCCCACGTGAAACTTGATTTTAGGGCCAAAATGTTCGCGAATTCTTTTGATACTCCGATCCCGTAGCAATTTTTCTGTGAAGGATACACATGGCGAGGACGGCATGTAAGCTGGCACCGCCAGGCACATCTGCTTGAAAGCCAGGCATATTAGATTACTCATCCTCGAAGCGGAAGACGCCACAACTACCCAAATTCGCGCATTTCTCTGAATCACAACAAGCGCCTGAACTCGGCGGCAAAAGAAACAAACGGCGAGCGCGATCACCTATTTCGACGGGCAAACTGTCAAAACAAAGAGGCGGCGGCGTTATTTCGAGTTGACGTTTGCCTCCGCTTTGAAAACTGCGAAGCCGACGAACGGGCAAGTATTGTAATGACAGCGGAAGTTTGCATGGATGCCGCTTCTCGCGAAAAGAACTGACCTTGCTCTCAGGACATGAGAAATGAAGCAGCCGTCGATGCAGCGACAACTGTGACATGCATTAGATCACTTCGAAAGTAAGCGAAACTCTCCATGCATCTTCGTTTTGATTACTGACATGATCACCTCGATCGTTAAAACAACCGCTGGCAAAAGAAGCGAGATCGATTCAAAGCGGTGTCAGCGAGTAGCGAGGTTTCAGTGCCATTTGCGCCAAAATTGAGAGGACCGCGCATGCTAGTAGTTGAACTAGCTGGCATTCAAAAACGTTTTATTCAGTGATAACGTTTACGAATATGAACTGTCTTGCATTTGTTTTGCGTTCTTAGTTTTTCGTGGCTGCGAGAGATTCACAGAATTGTTTGGAAAGTTGTATTTTGACACTGAATGTGCTAGTTCTGTGCAGCGATGCGCTTCAATCGACATCGACTGATGTGGTGGTTAGTAATAATTATGGCTACTGAAACCGCCCTTTCATTATTATCTTCATTGCTAACGCTATACTCATGCAGTCATGCTAAAATAATCGCAAAGCTAAGCAATAAAGAAATTGAATTTTCCATCTTTTGTCGTCACGGTCCAAATTTTGAGCTGAAATGCATTTGTAAACTATTAGCGGTGGCGGATCAATTGGTCTAGAAGCCTGCTCATTTTCTATTAAGGTGTTGAATTTTTGCACGAATAAAAAAAAAACCACTAAAACGAACTTCGGGTCCGCTGAGCGACGATCTATTAGCGCGTCACTGTCAGCCGGTTTGGTTTCGGATTTCAGGGGACTCACTTTCGCTTGCAGCGCCCGCCGCTACTTAGTCATCGGCATCGATATCAGTCAGCCTCTCGGCTGGCGTTTTGTGCATCGCGCGCAAACAGCCATCCGTGCGCGTAGTTGCGTTTGGTTTCCGTTCGATCTGAGGCAGTCGCCAAAATAGCTGTCGTCAAAGACGTTCCAGCTCTTCTCAGCGGCCTGCCGAAACATGCAGAGCCATCGGCGTTGAACGGCCGAAGACATCTCGGAGTTTGTGCGAAGCCGACCGGCCGCCGCTGCCACCAACAGCACAAAGGAGGACCACGTTGTTGTCGCTCTGCGAGCAAGGTACGTCGGCCGTGCGTTTTGACAGCCTTTTTCTCCCTTGTTCGCGAAACGCTAATTTCGACGGCTCGCTCTTCGCACCAGAGCGGCACGGTTCGAACGTATTTTCCCGTTTACAACTAGCGGTGGCGGGAAAACACGTGGGCGCCGCTTTTCCCCACGCCTAAACTTTTGAAACTGGTCGCCGCCGATGGAAGCCAGCTCCATAGCGACGAGCGGTTTAGCTTTCGGGTGTATGCGATGTGCGCTCGTAGTTTGACTGCTAGCTAGCCGGGCGGAATCGTGTCGGTACGCGGGATCGCGCTCACTACGACGCCGCGTCGAGCGAACTTGGAAGTCGCCGGTACTCGAAAGCAGCGCGGTAACGATCCACAAGCGAAACAAGCGCTCCCTTTCAACTACGCAGCCGCCAACAATGACGCTTCGGTTTAGCGCGAACTCGCCGAAGTGCTCGGATTGCCCGGCTCGCGTCTTTATTTCGCGGGGACTGTCGTCGCGTTGCGGGTGCTTTTTTTTTTTTTTTTCGCCACTCCGCGTTCGGTTTTTGAACGTCGGAGGACAGAAGAAAATCGAAAGATGGCAGGAATGTGAAAGTAGTGTTCGCTGGCTCGACCGGCCGCCCGTCACTGTGTTGGTCTTTTGTCTTGCTTCCTTGCAAGGCGCCTCGGGCGCCGTATCGCTTCTTTACAGAGCTGCTGATACGCTGTTTGGCGCCGATAACTTCGTTGATAGAGATGCACTGCGCTGGTTTAGGGAACGAAAAAAAATTTTTTTGAGGACTGAGTTTTTTGTTTATTGGTTCCCGACTACTCTCGGCATTTTCGCCTCTGGGAAGCGCGCGCGCGCCTGATTTCAAGGTTCGCTACGTTTGACCAGTGCTTGTAGTTAACAAAAGGTGAAGTCAACGCGAACTGGATTCCGCGAGGCGTTGTTAGAAGAAGGGGACGAGGGTGTGACAAATTGTGTAGCATTGTTAACTATGCCCCCTCTCCCTTCTCATCGACGCGCTTGAAAAGCCTCTCCACCGTGCTGGTGAAAGCAACCACGTTTGACGTTTCTAGTTTAGCTGTGAGGAAACTTCGTTGTGGACACATCCGAGCTAAACTGACCCGATGGTAAGCAGGTCTTTTTTTTTTTGTTGTTGTTGTTTGTGGACTCGCGCCGCTGCTGCTTTAAAACTCTAAACTTCGCAATCGCGTTATGTTTACATTACCCGCGCGCCTGAAACAAACTCTGTAATCTCGTTTGATAGTGTACCAGTTGCTTTTGCAGTCATGCGAAACATTACTTGGCGCGAAACTACTATGGTTTAACGTTAAACGGCGCCCCGCCGCGGTGGATCCTAGTGGCTAAGGTACTCGGCTACTGATCCGCAGGTCGCGGGATCGAATCTTGGCTGCGGCGGCTGCATTTCCGATGGAGCGGAAATGTAGGCTCGTGTGCTCAGATTTGGGCGCACGTTAAAAAACCCCATGTGGTCCAATTTTTCGGAGCCCTCCACTACGGCGTCTCTCGTAATCATATGGTGGTTTTGGGACGTTAAACCCCATATATCAACGTTAAACGGCGGGCGCTTTTGGACTGGATGGGTATTTTGTGTGCTGTCGGCAGCGAGGTAATTGTGGATGCATTGTGTTACTTTGGGAGATAGCTTTTTTTTAATCTAAAAAGAAAAACGAGAAAAAAAACCCCGCGTTAGTGCTAGCAGGCTGGCCGGAGTTTTCTTTGTCTTATCTATGTCTCACCAGTCATCGCACCGTCTTATCTCATTGAGTCATGGATTTCAAGTTTCAGTAAGGTAATTACTGGCGTTGAAGTTTTTTTATAGTAACTTACGTTAATCTTATCTGGTTAACGTAAGACGAGATGCATACTGATCGCCATTATTTCTACTTGTGTCGAGCACTGGCTAGGTTAACACTATTCGTAAATATTGCTCACGCAAATGATGTGAAGAAACCGCTAGGGAAATGTGCTTTTGAAAAAACAAAAATGGCGTCAGTGTTAACAGCGCGCGCGCTTTCCATCACACAGCGTTTGTTTTAGTTTGGTGTGTTTACTGGCGTTGCAGTTTGTAACCCTAACTCTATATAAGATAATGTGTGCATCTGAAAGATGCGGACTTTATATTATCTTCCAGGCCTCGACCCGACTTGATGTGCGTTTTGTTGCTGACAGTGCTTCGCGCTGCTCGTTCTCAGGTGCGCGCGTAAACCAACTCAATCGCGTCGCCATTTTTGTCCAGCTAGGCAAACTCCATTTTAGTGTCGTTTTTTTTTTTTACGCGGCTTGCTCGCGTAAAAAAAAAAAAAAAAACCGCTGTGAGGTCTGGGTGATGGTTCTGTCTTGCAAGTTGGTCTTCCCGCGAAGTTTCCGGGAATCGTTCGCGGAATGGCGTTCTTGGTTCTGTGAAAGTTGGCTGTGAGTTTATGCTCACCACCTCTCTCTCCTCCGTTTGTGCACGTGTTAGGACTGTGTGAAGGTGGCAGCCGCGCTTTTTTCCCGATATCTACTGATGAGGAGCCATGATTTTCCTAGAAGCAGTGCACCGAATGATGCACAATACTAAGCACGCATAAAAGCAGCAGATCTTGTGTTTGCGTCCTTTGTGTGTGCCTGTTTTTGTACCCTTCTTCGCGCTGCTGCTTCAACAATAGTTTTCAAACTTGGTGGCCCTGGTATCATGGACCGCATCCCCCCACCCCAAAGCCGAGGGCATGTGATTCCAGAAATGCCGCAGGAATGTCGCACCATAGAGCGAGCTCTGCACGTGCTCTGGTAAGGTCGTACACCTGTGAGGGCTCATTCACACTGTCCCAAGCGTGCTTTTCGAATTAGCGAGTGCATGAACCTGTCCAGACCGCATGCCTCCGTCAGCTGGTTGCACGGCAGAAGAGGTGGGCATTTCGCGCGTATGTCGCGTGGCAATGCTTCTCCTCCGCGTGGTGTTCTGACTCGCTGAGGCGAAGCGGCGTTTTCGGCGAAGCGACGTTTTCATCGGAAGAACCTGCAAGGGACTGGGTGCCGCAATTACTTTTTTTGTGTGGTATGCCTGTTGTGCAGCCAGCTTCGGCTATGTCCATGCTTGCTTACTGTCCCCCTCCCTCGTCCTTCACTGTAGGGCTGTCAACGGCTGCCAGTGGGGGTAAAGAGTTTTTTTTTTTTTTTTAATTTTAGCAGCGTTTGCTCAAAACGCGAAACACGCACCATGAAGGTGCCAATGCTAGAAGTGTGGCAGCTTGGGCTAGTTGGTATGGCATGACGATAGTTATAGCGCGAGAACAGAACGACGACACAGAGACACGCACGCTGTGCTCCTGTTTTTTTTTTTTTCCTCTTACTCATGTTATGCTCTTCGTGCCATATGGTTTGTCACATGGTTACTGTCTCCTTCATATATTTTCGCGCTCTGCGCAATAAACTCAGTTGGAAGCTAGCGCTCGTGTCTTTCGTGTCCTTCTTGTCTCTGTGTCGTCGTTTTGTTCTCGTGCTATAACTATGGTCATGCCAATGCTAGGCCACCACCGGATTAGAGGAGCGGCATGGTGGTGGTGGTAGTGGTTAGAAGATGAGACAAGGCACCTAATTTCACGCACGGTGCAGTGCGCGCTCTCTCCTACGGCTTGCGAACAATAGGGCAGATTCTTCGTAGCCGGTTGCAGGTTCGGGGGCTTCGAGCCAACTCAATACCTTCTTCCTCCTCTTTTTTCTCAGCAGACGCCTCGCGTCTGATACCTCTGATCAGCCGCACGTGTTCGGATTTTAATTTGGGGACGAAACCAGCGTGTGGAGGAGTGTGTCAGCGAGGATTGGGCCGCCGCGACATGAACTAGTGGTGGTAAAAGGTGGGTACTAGACGCGAAGCTGGAAGTTGCAAGTTAGCGCTCGTGTCTTTCGTGTCCTTCTTGTCTCTGTGTCGTCGTTTTGTTCTCGCGCTATAACTATCGTCATGCCATACCAACTAGCCCAAGCTGCCACACCGCGAAGCTGAGGCCGCAAGGGAGAGCGTTCGTGCCGCTCTTTCAGTCCGGCCACGTGAGTCCGGCCGTCGCTAAGCAAACTTTGTTTTGGACGGTAAGTTATAGTTGTTTGAGCTGAGGAAAGAACCGAGTTCCGCTACCCAGTTTAAATACCCGATCTTCTGAGCCTAGAACTTGCAAAGCTACACAGCTCTTAAGGACCCCCCTGACAGCGGAAGTTTTGTTTGCGACTTTTTTTTTTTACATGGATTTGTAGCTTTGCGTATGACAATGCCGAAATTGAATCGTAATATACTAAACTCATCGCATAATTTATGGTAGCGCCGCTAATTCCGAGTGATTTCGCGTCAGTTTGAAACGCCCGCCTAAAATACCTCGAAGAAACTAGGGGTGCCTGAGACTGCCTGCGATCGAGCTTCGGTGACGCTAAATGCGCTATTTTCAAATAGGGGTGTAGAAGAATGAAACGATGTAGATTGCAGATGCTTTGGGCGCTTCACCCTCAAAAAAAAAAAAAAAGGGAAGGCATTCCTGACTTAAAAGCAGCCAAAACTACCTCGAGACCACATGACAACCTAGTGTGAGGAGTGACGAACAATAGTCCTCGCCGTGTGCCAGTCGGTGTATTGTGCGCGGCCCACGACTGTTCTCTGAAGCCAACAATACTTGCTTGACCTTTGCAAAGTCCGGAGGGAACCCCCTATCTGCGCCAAATCGCAGATAATGTAGATATTACCTGATTACTCGGACCAGCAAGCACCCTTACTTTAAAGCCAATTTAGATTGTTTTCACGGGAAGGAAAAAAAACACCGCCATGATGGGCTGTGCGCGGGAGTACAAAGGCTAAGGGCGCAGCGTTGCCAGTGCATTTTCGAGGGGACGCGCGAATTTGCACAGCCCAAGGAGGGCTATGGCGGCGCCCAGGGAGGCGTTTATGAGAAGGTGAATAGACAACGCTCGTTATCTGTCAGCAGTGCCCCCGCGTGGAGGAATCTCAAACAACACATCTTGAGTTACCAAACTTGGTGTCATGGGGGTCCTGTCAAGGCCTGACCACGCGCACCCGTTGTAGCCCGTGGCCTTTTGACGCGTCGCCGCGCCTTCTCCCAGTATGATAGAGAGGGCGCGTAGCCACGATCAGTTGCGCGCCCTCTTGATCCATAGCGAGATGGCGCGGCATGCGTCAAAAAGCCACGAGCTGCAGCAGCTGCGTGTGCTCAGGCCTTTAGCAAAGGAAAAAAAAAAAACGCGAACACGACGCGCCTGACCTCCTCCCTTCCGCGAATTTCTGGGACATTTGTTGCGATGATCGTCGCGAGAAATATCTAGGGAAATGTTCTAGTGACTTCAGTTTCATCTGGGGAACACGCCACAACGCTGCCGTCAGTGTTGCCAGGTTAGTGGCTTTCCAGCTGAATGTAGCGGGATTTAATTATGCTTAGTGGGTGAAACGGTTGTGTTACGGCAGGTGGGATTGGCTGGCCAAGAAGTGCATGGTTTTGCTATACTCGCGGACGTTTCTTGGTAATGAAAGAAGGCTACGGGAACAGAGCTACTGCACATGTACTCTTGTGCAGAGTAGTTTGGTTTAGCTTGCGTTTCGAATGACTGGCCATGCTCGAACAATAACACTGTATTCAATTTACTACGTCTGCTTAGACAGCCATTCGAGATTGAAGTTCGTCCACAAGATTCTTCAGCGAGTCATGTGAATAGCTAAACGGCAACGAACGCTCACCTAAAGATGGCGCTGTTTTGACCCTGCGGTGTACGTAAAATGAGAGAGGTTTTCTCAAGTACATGCATGACGTAAAATAATTGTGAATATGTCATTGGTGTGTGCCACATCTCTTCATAAACAAAATCCTCTCGAAATTAAAGTGATGTTCTTTATGATCTTCACAGGGAAAGTACGTACGCAATCGTGGGACTATTTCTCAGTGGGGGCAAATGCCCACTTTTGCTCCGTAGCCTTCTTTTCATCGCCGAGAAAAGTTGTCGGCGAGTGTAGTTGTACACTGTATCCTCTTGTCTTTGTCTTGTTTTTGCACTGTTTCATTCTCTTGGTTGAAATAAATAAATGCTATAATAGGGCAGAAGCTTAGTCGAGAGTTTTTTTTTTTCATTTACTGTTTTTTTAAATAAAATGTTCTGATAGTTTGGCAGAAATGTTGAATTTGTTGGGTTTTTAGGGCTCCTCTTGCAGGATTGTCAGTTTTCACTTGGCAACACTAGTCGTGTTTAAGAGATGGAGTAAGAGAGGTGCATTCAAGATGGGCATTCATATGTGCTTTAGCAATGGTTCTTTGTTTAACCACATCTATGAATGGCCAAATCTGGTTGATCGATCCAGCAGTACTGGCTTAGACTCCCACTCTTCCTGGGTTCCTGGCGTTTTTCTAGCGGGGAGAGTGTACGCTGGTCTAGTTTTGTGGGCATTTACTTTTTTCTTATGGAAGTCACTGCTTTCACTCCGTTTTTTCCCCAACAATGCTGTACCATTATTCCTTGTGGGTTGCTGGAATCTGTTTCCTCAGCTCTAACCGTTACTCTCAAAGCCATGTCCCAACATCTGCAAGCCTTGGGTGCTTGCATCATCTGCTTATTAATTCTTAAATAACTACTAACGACAAAAATACTATTGCCAGTTGTGAGGTTTTGCCAAGATTGCCTCGGTGATGTTCACTGCTTGCCGCTAGCTAACGTGGAATATCTTAGCAGTTTGTCTTACTTTTAATGACTGGCTGTCATTACAGAAAAAAGCAAAATGGGTCCAGGGACACGTAGGGTGTTAGGATCATCTTACATATCAAGAAGAAATGGTTATGTAGCAAGAAGGCAAGGTAACCGCTGGCGATTTTTAAGAGCAGCAGGCCAGAAAAGAAAGAAGCGTGTGACATGGGGGCAGAAAGTTGGGTTGGCAGGCGAGATTAATTTTGTGGGGATCAGGCCGTAGCCATTAAATTGGGGGGGGGGGGGGGGAATTTGTTTACGAGCTCTAAGAAACTGCTTTTAAAAATTCCTTTCCCTGGTCAAACACCCTCTCTACTGAAATTTTGAGGGTAGGGGTTCCCTAGACCCCTCTCCAGCTGCGGGGGCCAGGTGGCGATTTTATGGCCACAGCAAGCACACTGCCCGGCAGATTGGCAAAACATGCGAGAGGCCTTTGTCGTGGGCTGAGTTGTGGCTGATAATGATTATATTGTTACAGAGGTCATGGCTAAATGCGAGGGCAACGAGGCTGTCGGCCCGGACGCCGGTGCCGTTGTGGCCGCTGCCCCCAAAAGCAAGAGCGGTGGCAAGCGCCGCAATGGAAATGGCCAGTGGAGTCCCCGCAACACTCTGTTGGTGCGGGACTTCCTCGTGCCCTGCCTGGACAACGGATTCTACGGGGAGGACCTGCGGTGGTTGAACCGTGCCCGGGGCATCTTCCTCATTCGCTGGACCCACCAGGGTAGTAAAAGCTTCAACAGGGAAGGCCGCAACGTCTTCCGGGTAAGCATCGATTTCCCTTCTTTGTATGCAGGTGTAGTTCTGTGTCACTGCAGTTTCTGCAGTATTGCTTGCTAAATTGCACTTCACAAGGTGTTCTAAATTTATTTTTAGAGCGTTGCCCATTTATTCTAGGAGTGCAACATGTGCAGGCTGCTCAAGTGTTGCATTCATAAACATCTTGTACTAGTGTTACGTGGTCCAGTGTGCAGAGGCTCATTACTGTGTGATGCCGGGGCACGTTAAAGAACACCAGATGGTTGAAATTCCCAGAGCCCCGGCACTCTGGCATCTCTCATAATTATATTGGGGTTGTGAGACTTAAAATCCTACAAATTATTATTACAGTCCCATGGAATCCTTACCTTGTCTGATCTGGATCGAATTCCTTCGTGATTGGATCCTCTAAGCAATCCGCAGACAGTCGATCTTGATCAGCCTTAATTGTGAAAATGGTGCACTGTGTGACATCTGTATCAATTCATATGATTGGACAAAGAGGTAAAGGAAGTAAACTGAATGTCAGTGTTGTGTTCTGTCGTCCCTCAATCGTTTATAGTAAACCTCGAAGCATTCAGATTAGAAAGTTCGCTCATTTCGTTGTGCGAACCCTCAAACATGCGAGTGTCAATTTTCTTGTGTTCATGATTGCCAAGTGACCCAACAAGGAAACGGCAGATCACTGAAGTCCTTCAAGCAGGCATCGCAGGCAAATACTTCATTGAGACTGTGTCTGCGCGAGTCATTGTGGGAGCAACTGGTCACTTCCAGCACAATCAGTTCAGTGGCAGGAAAGGCGGGACAGTTCCTTTAGGGCAATGCCCTAGCAGCATGAACTCGCTTCACTTCGAGTGCCTTTCTTGTTGTCCCCAAATGCTAAATAACTTTCTCGGGCAAAGTGAGTATTTAGTTTTAATTCTTTCAGTGCAGCATTGTTTGGCAGTGGAAACGTCATATTGTAGTGTCTAAACTTTTTTGAGCATTCATCGCCAGCGCAGGTCCTTTCTTGGACATAATGCAGAGTGTGTAGTGAATCTATTTATTTTCACATACTGCAGCTTAATTTGGGCTATCACAAGAGTGGAATTTTTCCACATCAGCACACAAACTGAAAGGCGGTGCAATACTGAAATAAAAGAAAAACAAAAAACAAGGACAAAAACCGAAATAACATCCTTAATAAACAAAGCGTGATTCAATATATTCATTAAAGAATTTATAAGGCAATGATCTGGTTGACCCAGGCAAAATAGTCCATTTTTCTAGTGGGCAGAAAGAAGCTAAATTTAAATAGGTTAGTACATGGATGGAATGGTGTCAGGTTGAGTCTGTGGCTATTTCTCGTGGGTTTCAGTTTATTGGGAGACAAATATTCGTTAGTTAATGTAAAGCATGAGGTATTAACGGCAATATGTAGCAACTTGAGGCATTCGAGATCCCGCTGCTCAGACAGAGTTTGTAGACACAACGTAGCAAGCTTTCATCACAATAGTAGAACTTGTTTGCCTCTATTCTTGGAACGTTTCTGCCGCATATGGATGACACTGTCACATGTGCTCAATTAGAGAGAAAGAAAAAAAAACAGTTATGCATATGAGTGCCAAATATGTTGTTTACCAAACCATGCTGCTCTGCTTGTCCAATGTGCACTCGTACAATCATGCGGGAGAGTTTGTGTATGTTGGAAGTACAGAAACTTGTGAATGTCTTCTGTGAAACTGCAGCTCAGCCTTGCACATTCGGTGGCGTTGTCTTGTTGACGTGCTCTAGTGCTCCTTTCGTTTTTCTCACTCGCTCACTTAAACAATAACCTGAGTGGCTTACTCGCCTTTATTTTCTTTGAAATCTCATTTAATGTCGTACAGCCGAACATTTTGTCGGTCACGTGAAGACGTGGTGACGTTGCCATGAAACTCCCTTGTGCCATTGTTGGCTTGGATGTCGGGACTTTGTTGTCTATTTGCCCACAGCAAAGCAGTATTGATGTTTGGCTCGTGTGGGTCAACTTAAAAACTTGATCTCCTCCAGGCAAACATTCCCGTCATCTCTAGAGTTTGTGTTAGTGGCAACAAGTTGAAGCTTATGTAATCGGTCTGTCAATGAATTGCTTTTTCTTCAGAGCGTGGCGTTAGGTGCCCTGTTCTTGTGTTAAGCGACACCGGCGTTATTGATAAAGTGAACGTAGACAGGAGTGAGTAAATGTGGACTGCAATGAGCCGCTGTGTGCGTCTGCAACGGCTTGTGCTTGCTCGTGTTTGTTGTGACTGTGCAATGCGCGCCTGTCACGCATGAGTGCGAGATACATGGGTTGACCTGTGAGACTTGGGAGAAAATGTGCGTTCGTCCACGGGGCATGGCTTGGGGAACATTGTAGCATACTGTTAGATTTTCTGTTTAGATTTCTGGGCACATGTTTGCCCATGATAAATGAGTTCTACAGCGCAGCTCTCTGCTACCTGTACTTTCGTTGAGTGGCATCGATGTCGTAACTGGCAGAGCAACATGGAGTGCATCAGCGGATGAAAGATGGTGTTAGCCAACAGTGTGCGAGGAGAAGGAAATGACAGTTGGGGGACAGCAGGTTCCGCGGTACCCGCCGGCTTTGCCACAGTGGTGCACGTCTCCCGGTTAGTCGTGCTTCAGCTTGTCGCAGAATCAGAAAACCTGTGAGAGTTATTCAACAAACTCCGACTTTTTTTTTTTTTTTTCCACCTCCCAAAGCAGCTCTGCATTTCGCAGAGAAGACTGTGGTGACGACGTTTTCTGAATATTACAGCGTTGCGCGCCGCATTTCGAAAAACAATTCTTGCGCTCCTTTCCTACGCCTGACCAATTATGCTTTGACATGCACTTGACGTAGCATGCAGCTTGTCGATAAGTCTAAACCAGTCACGACGACGGGGCTACGCCTTCCCCTCCCTTGTCAGGGAGAAGGGTGGCGAGGTGGCGTGATAGTTTGAAACCAGCTAAAACAGATGTTATAGTCCCTCTAACTCCCTAATATTGCGCGTGTTCGCAAAATTCTTGCGGCGGCATGTTCAGAAAGCAAAAGGACACATATTTCTCGTTATATTTTCTGGCCTCGAGTTGTTGTTTACTGGCTTTTAACAGCGGCACTCGGAATTCGCATTAGACAATATTGTAGAGTGACCTCTTTTTCGGCGGTTGTGTTGTGCAGCCTCGAGACTGTACTTGCCACTCACTCCGCAATTCTCTCGCAGGACTGGTCCGTCATGAAGCGCAAATGGGATGACCAGGATCCCAACCGACTGTCCAAGGCAAAGCAGCGCGTGCGGGCCGCCTTCCGCAAGCTGCCAAATGTCCGCCGTATAAACGAGGGCGCCGCCCCTCACCGCATCTACCGTATCAAAGATATTGATAGTAAGCTCTTTTTTTTTCTCATGCCTTTATCTAGAAGATTCGTTGTATCGCTAATCAGCCAAATTTGGGTGCTGTCTCAAAGGGAAAACAATGATGGGTTGTTGGTGAAATATAAAGATTTCCTGACGTTCACAGAGTGTTTGTTGCTGTCTTTGATACATCTGCAGAACCCATTGGCACTTCATTGAGCAGGTTTTAAATATTCAATTAACTGAAAATGTAATCGGATGATGTTTTCACGAATAAATAACTTCAAAGTTTATGATATGGTGGGCATGAAAACTAAGCTCAAATGTAATGCGAGCCCACGCATGATCACAGAAATATTTGTCATTCTAACTGAAAAGAGCCCTGCAACACTATTTCAGCATGGTCAGAAAATGCAGCTGATTGGTAGCAAAGGCCCCCCGTTAACTCGCATGCCAAACATTATAGCGCAGCACACGGCCTGAAATTTACGGCTAAATCTCGCTCGCATTCAGTCAAAAATTACTCCCTCTTGTCACCACAAGCGATGCCATAAACCCAAATCAGCCCATGGCCGCAACAAATGTGGCCATTGACTGATTTGAGCATTGCAAGCAACATAGTTACCCATGCTATCGCATAATGCAGCCACAGACCCATGTGCATGCTTACACTCAAACTTGAAGGAAGTCCTGCGTAGGAAAAAAAAAAAGTGCCTGAGGTCATGTCGTGCGCGAATGAATGAACGTAACTCCTTGCCGTGCGTAGTTTTTAGTGCTATCGCTGGCCCAAAAGAAGGGAGAAATGGTTAAAGTGTGCCACGAATTACTGTAAATGTGCTCGTATGTGACAGACTCACAATTTTGGTAGCACTTGATTTGTTAGGCAATAAACTTCTTTAATGATGCAGTTCTACACTCAAACCTCAATATAACAGTCACACCTGCCGCGAAAATACTTAGTTATACCTGAAAAATCGTTATAGACATATCTTTGTAGCACTTTTTCTAGGAAATAGGCATTCTTCACTCTCTTTCTTATAACTGATGGAAAGTGCAAATTTACGGGCTCATTCTCCTTTGTTACACACAATATTACGGATAGTAATGCAGGGGAAGTATAGGCGATGTTATTAGAAGTAATTGCAATGTAAATTTCTTATACTATTCAGATGCTTTATATCGTGGTTTGAGTATTGTTACTTGAGCAAAGTTGTAGAGTTCCTTAAAATGACAGAGTGCGTATTGTCTAAGAATTTTTTTCCGCTCTTAATGTTCACAGCCTACCTCAAGCAGGACAGCAAAGACCAATCAAAAGAGAAAAAGAAGCGCAAGGAGAAGCGCGTGCAGTCGCCTGCCAGTGTGGCTTACGACGCAGAGGAGGGCATGGATGACCTCTACGAGGACGATGAGGAGGTAAGCTTGAGTGCTCTTTTGGTGACCAGAATTGAAACTTGGATTGGTCGCTTTGTTGTATCTCGCGGCCATTTGATAATTCCAAAAAAAAAAAAAAAAACTGGTGCTACCTCTTGGAAAGATGGTGCGGAATCAACAGAACTAGTTATGATTTTGTTTGAGGCCACCTCTCTGCGACACTGTCACGGCGATATTGTCTTCACCATCAAATACAGCTTTAAACATTCCGTTGGCAAGTCAGACAAGTATATTGTGACGGAGGCTAGATGAAAGTTTAATGATCCGCAACAGTGAGTCTGTAGCCAAACAAGATGTCTTAGCAGCTCCACGCGCAAGCGCATCACGCACAGTTGTCTTGGTCATCTTTGGAAAGCCCCATGCTTGCTCATGTCCGTGACACACTGTAACAATATTAATGAACTGTGGCATCTATTGAAGAGTGTCCGCAGCATTTTGTCTTGTCGTTGCAAACCCGCATTGCATTGTGTCTGGGGCAGGGGGCGAGTGCTGGCGTGGCTTGAGGGGCGCAAGTGCCCCTTTCGCACTCCCCTGTTGCTCATTGTAACTTAGCGGGCAAAATGCATCTGCTACTGGGCCAACCCTTGCATTGGGTACGAGCCATGGTCGGAAAGAATTAAGCGAGACTTTGATTTCTGTGTTCACTGCTTGGGCCGCCAAAGCAGACGCAGTGCTTTGGCACACAAAGATGTGTAATTCGTCTTGCTTGAAATCGCGGGCACTTGGGCTGATGTTCTCTGGCAGTGCTAGTCTTTGTGGCAGGAAAAATGCTGGCTGGTATGTGTGGCGTACACATTTTTCTTTTCCTCGGCTTTCCTGGTAGGTTCCCAGTGCCTGCCGTGGTGCACCATATAGACACGCCATTTAGGCCAATAGAATTCTCCGTTTGTAAACAGTATGATGTCACTGCGGGCACTTCGCCCACCATACCCTCTCTCGAAGCAGGTGCTGGTTGGCAAAAAACGTTCCGCCGGCGGCATATTTCTGCATATCAGAGCTGCGTGCCTGCATTCCTTTGACAGAAGTATCTACATTGCTATGTTCTAAAGTCACAGCTTTTGAAGGAAGGAGGGTTGCGGAAGGGTCATTGCTCATAGTGTGGAAATTTGCTCTTCGTAGTTGGATGGATGGAAAAACTTTATTTAGAGTACTGACAGACGCGACTAGCACGCAGTGGGCTTCACCCACGTAGATGGCGACGATTAAAAAGTCTGATCTTTTCCGAAAGTAAACGTTTTGAATGTACTCGGTGACCGACACTTTGAAAAATATTTGCATGGCATTGATGTAAACTTCAACTGAAGCGTCATCATGGCTGGATGTAGGTGCGTAAGCCTGTACTACCTTCATCTTGTATCTTTTATTCAGTTTAATTACGATACCTACCACCCTTTCATTAATGCTATAGTATTTCTCTATGTTGCCAGCTATGTTTCTGTGAATTAGGAGCCCCACTCCCAGTTCTCTTCTGTCTGCCAAGCCCCTGTAGCAAAGGACGTGCCCATTCTGTTGCACCGTATAGGCCTCATCTGCCCTCCTAACCTCACTGAGCCCTATTATATCCCATTTAACACCCTCTAGCTAAATGGGATATAATAGGGCTCAGTGAGGTTAGGAATACCATAGCATTAATGAAAGGCTGGTAGGTATCGTAATTAAACTGAATAAGAGATACAAGATGAAGGTGGTACAGGCTTACGCGCCTACATCCAGCTATGATAACGCTTCAGTTGAAAGCTTCTATGAAGACGTGGAATCGGCAATGAGTAAGGTAAAAACACAGTATACTATAGTGATGGGCGACTTTAATGCAAAGGTAGGGAAGAAGCAGGCTGGAGACCAGGCAGTAGGAGATTATGGCATCGGTACTAGAAACGCCAGAGGAGAGCTACTAGTAGAATTCGCAGAACGCAATAATTTACGGATTTTGAATACCTTCTATCGAAAACGAGAAAACCGCAAGTGGACATGGAGGAGCCCTAATGGCGAAAATAAGAACGAAATAGACTTTATAATGTGTGCACACCCTGGAATCGTGCAGGATGTGGAAGTGATTGGCAAGGTACGATGCAGTGACCATAGAATGGTACGGTCTCGAATTCGCCTAGACTTGAAGAAGGAACGACAGAAACTGATAGGCAAGAAGCCAATCAATGAGCTAGCACTGAGAGGGAAAGTAAAGGAATTCAGAGTGTCGCTGCAGAACAGGTACTTGGCTCTTAGTGAGGAAACCAACCTTAGCGTAGATACAATGAATGATAATCTGACGAGTATCATTACCGAGTGTGCAGTGGAAGTTGGAGGCCGGGTAGTTAGACAGGACACTGGCAAGTTTTCCCAGGAAACGAAGAACCTAATTAAGAAGCGTCAAATCATGAAAGTCTCAAGTACAACAGACAAAATATAACTGGCAGAGCTTTCGAAGTTGATTAATAGGCGTAAAGTATGCGATGTAAGAAGGTATAACATGGAGAGAATTGAACACGCTCTGAAAAACGGAGGAAGTGTCACAGCATTGAAGAGGAAACTTGGGATAGGCAAAAGTCGGATGTATGCACTAAGGGACAAAGAAGGCAAAATAACTACCAATATGGATAGGATAGTTGAAATAGCGGAGGAGTTTTACAGAGATCTGTACAGTAGCCGAGACAACGACGACCTTAATACTATAAGAACTAGCAGTAACCCAGATTACACCCCACCAGTAATGATAGAAGTCAGAAAAGCTTTGGAGAGCATGCAAAGGGGCAAAGCTGCTGGTGAGGATCAAGTAACATCAGATCTGCTGAAAGATGGAGGACATATTGTGTTAGAAAAACTAGCCACCCTGTTTACGAGGTGTCTCCTGACGGGAAGAGTACCAGAGTCTTGGAAGAACGCTAACATCATCCTAATACATAAGAAAGGAGATGACAAGGACTTGAAGAATTACAGGCCGATCAGCTTGCTCTCTGTAGTATACAAGCTATTTACAAAGGTAATTGCTAACAGAGTAAAGAAAACATTAGAATTCAATCAACCAAAGGAACAAGCTGGATTTCGAACAGGCTACTCAACAATTGACCACATTCATACTATCAATCAGGTAATAGAGAAATGCTCAGAGTATAACCAACCCCTATACATAGCCTTCATAGATTACGAGAAGGCGTTTGATTCAGTAGAAATATCAGCCGTCATGCAAACACTGCAGAATCAGGGCGTAGATGAAGTATATATAAACATTCTGGAAGAAATCTACAGGGGATCAACTGCTACCATAGTGCTATATAAAGAAAGCAACAGAATACCAATCAAGAAGGGTGTAAGGCAGGGGGACACAATTTCCCCAATGCTATTTACCGCGTGCTTACAGGAGGTTTTCAGAAGACTAGAATGGGAACAGTTTGGGATTAGTGTCAATGGAGAATACCTTAGTAACCTGCGCTTCGCCGATGACATTGCATTGCTGAGTAACTCGGGGGACGAATTGAAACTCATGATTACGGAGTTAGACAAGGAGAGCAGAAAGGTGGGTCTTAAAATTAATCTGCAGAAAACGAAAGTAATGTACAACAACCTCGGAAAGGAGCAGCGCTTCGAGATAGGTAATAGTGCACTTGAAGTTGTAAAAGACTATGTCTACTTAGGGCAGGTAATAACCGCAGAGCCTAACCACGAGATTGAAGTAACTAGAAGAATAAGAATGGGGTGGAGTACATCCGGCAAGCACTCTCAAATTATGACTGGTAGATTGCCACTATCCCTCAAGAGGAAGGTATATAACAACTGTATCTTGCCGGTACTTAGCTACGGAGCAGAAACCTGGAGACTTACAAAGAGGGTTCAGCTTAAATTGAGGACGACGCAGCGAGCAATGGAAAGAAAAATAAATGGCAGGTGTAACCTTAAGAGACAAGAAGAGAGCAGAGTGGATTAGGGAACAAACGGGGGTTAAGGATATCATAGCTGAAATCAAGAAGAAGAAATGGACATGGGCAGGGCATGTAGCGCGTAGACAGGATAACCGCTGGTCATTAAGGGTAACTGACTGGATTCCCAGAGAAGGGAAGCGTGTTAGGGGGAGACAGAAGGTTAGGTGGGCAGATGAGATTAAGAAGTTTGCGGGTATAAATTGGCAGCAGCAAGCACAGGACCGGGTTAACTGGCGGAACATGGGAGAGGCCTTTGTCCTGCAGTGGACGTAGTGGGGCTGCTGCTGCTGCTGCTGCTGCTGATGATGATGATGATGTAAACTTCCTCAGTTTACATCGTGGCACGTGTAATGCAGTTTTAAACGAGGTACAGCATTGGCGGATAGCATGGTTTTGAGCTGCTGTGCGCGACGTCACGGATAAGATTTTCATTGCGCAAAAGTCTGATCAGAGATGAATAGAAAAAAAAAACACTTCTTGTTTTGGGATATGCTGTGATTAACATATCCTCGTGACAATTAAAGTGAAATTTGGCCTCGGTGTTTTTCAACAGCCCAGTGAAAATTCATGTGATGTAAAACCCGACAACTTAATAATATATATTATTATCTGGCACAGTTACCTTGCTGCATTTGACACCCATAACATGTTCTTGTACCTATATTGCTCCTTCAGGCCTGATAGACAAACTTCTAGTGCTTACTTCATAAGGATCCAGCCATAAAAGTACGAAGTTGACAAGAAACCAGTCTTCACTGTTTCCATTAACTCATATAAGGTATCCGATAATATGGGTTATAGTCGAGGTGAAGCATATATGCGAATTCAACAATACTACAACATGCTTATAGGTCATGCGTAGTCGTATATTTCAACCGGAGATTATGCGCTTCTATTTTTCTGTACACCGCGCATACCCTCAGATGTATCCACTCGCAGATGATCGTGTCAAATGCATTTTTACTTTCACTAAAATGTGAGATCGTAAAGTTCCATCGACAGCCAGTTACTCCAACTGGCACACAACGAATACCAGTGTTTTCGCAAGCAGGACGCACTGCGTTATTCACACTGACACACCACGCACAATATTCCCAGTTTCACCGTCCGTAAATGTGAACCAATATTGTCGATTGCTATCAACGCGCACTACAGGTCACAGTCAGCACAGCACATTTTCGAAGACGATGCCGCTGTTGCTCGCACAGGCCGCCACGTGTGTTCACTTCTCCGAGATAAACAGCCAGCCACCGTGGAAAATATTTCATCACGCACTTTACCACATACCTAAATGTTCTCTGATACATACCACAGCTAATGTTGCCACTGTGAGATGAAGATTATGCTTTCAAAAAGAAAGAAAAAAACATGCCCCAAGCAAGGACGAACTGCACCCTACTCAGCCACCGGCGAGAGTGTTTTGCCAATCGGCGCCTCGCACGTGCACCAGTGACATCATGCTGTGACGTACCCCGGTAGAGGTCCATTGTGGCCTGCGCTCACTTCTCTAGTTCCTAGAGCTGTGACGTGCCCAATGATTCAAGGCACAGCATAGCATTTCAGTGTACCTTTGGTGTTGAGAAGCTGGCAAAATTTCCGGTGGTCGAAAAGTTGCCGGAAATGACTAGGCATGTTTGTTTACGGTAGTGGTTTGGTCAGTCTGTTTGGCAACATGACCAAGGCCAAGATCAGTGTGTTTGGCAACATGACCGCGCTGCTCACAATTGATAAGAAGCTCTTAATATAATGTATGACGTTTTTTGGTTAACTAGCTTTTTAATGATACGGGTATGTTTTTTACACTAGAGCTCTTATGCATTGTTCTATGATGGTTCGAGAAAAGCATCATCACCACCATGAGCCAGTGCATGCCCTCTTATCTGCTCCTCCCAGAACATGCGTGCCGATTTGTCTAACGTAGAATGCAATAGCTCTGACATACAAGAGAATGAGTAAAAAGAGGGCAGGAGGCTGAAAGAAATAGACAAAAACAGGCACAAAATATTGACGAAAAAAGGAAATCTGTTAAATGGAACTACTGTCTAAATGGAACTATTGCCTCGGCAATGCTTGGTTTCGGGCTTGTATTCTGCACTCATGTTCACCTCTCAGTAACCGAAGCTCCTGTTAAATGGAACATTCTTTCCCGGTCCCTTAAGGTTCCAATTACTGAGAGACTACTGTATTGTTCATTCGCAGTCTTACGCCAGCAGCAACGGCACTCTGAACACGAGGTCGGCTCCTCCACCCACCCCTGCCGCGTCGGACATCTGGTCCACCATGCGCTCCCTGACAGAGGCGCCCTCCGAGCCCTCCTCGCCGCCCCGGGCGTCCGAAACGGAGGAGTCGGACGGGGCCACCACCTCAAGCATGGGCTGGAGTTCCGCCGACATGGAGGCTGTGTGCACCCTGATGTCCCTGAGGAACGCGGGTCGTTGCCTTCAGCAGACAGCCGCCGCCAGCCCACTTGCCCCCACGGCACAGGGAACCGTACCAGCCTCAGGAACCCGCCAGCAGGACCAAGTGGTGGGTGCTTCGTTGCTGTACAGTTTTGGGGCGTATTGATGCTAATTCAGTGCAGAAACTTGACATATACCCAGTTATAACCCAGCAAAAAGCAAACAGACTTCTTAGAATTATGGAACAACAGAGCTAATTGGTGATGTGTTCACATTGGAGCATGGGGCCTGCAGACACGAACAAGGGAGAGATGTCGAGATACCACGGACACCTCCTTCTCTTTCTTCTTTCGTTTCTATTTGTACATTTGGTGCTAAGACTTTGTCGTGGTTCTCCAGAATAGAGTTTGTCCCATTGAAAATGCCGTTTGTGGTGTCCTGACTTCTGTCTTGTGTTCGTTTTTGCTTGACCCTTTTTATAACATGATGACTAGGCCCCTTCTTCATTTGCCTAAGACGACTTCAAGGCAAAAGCTGCCTTCCTTTGTGTTCTTAGTCGAATCCTGTGTCTGCGAATAAATCTCGCTTTATCGGATCGAACCTGCGGTTTTATTGTCGAGGTAAGTCTTGATTACCGTATTTTCGCGCGTATAACCCGCACCAAGAACCCAAAAATTTCAGTGGCAAAGTGGAGGTGCGGATAATACGCGGGGTTTTTCCTATAGTGCTGCTTCACAGCAATGCGTTTTGTGCTGTGAAGCCTCTTAACAGTGTAGCGAAGGCTACGGAGGCGGTTTCTGCAAATTCGTGTTGCTCCGCAAGTAGCACGGCAGCTTGCGGCCAATTTTGGTTTCGCTTGCTTGCATCGTTGAAGCGTTTAGAAAAACATTTGAGGAGAGACAATTCAATTGTTCAGTTTAAAACCTCACTGTCACACCACAAGTATATTTTTTGAACGTTCGCGGCCGCTCAGTGACCCTCCACATGTCCCTACGTCATGGACGCCATGTTTACATTTGGAAAGGGCTTGCCGAAAAGGTGGTGCTGTCTAAGAAAGTTCCATAATAAATGAAGTAAGTTCCATAATAAATGAAGCAGTATTTATTTCAGCTAGGCAAATGAGATATTATAGTGCCTATAGAGATATTATCAGAAATTAATGTACTACTTTTTGACGCGGTAGCAGGCATGCATTTCGGTTCTGTTGTTTCCAGGGTGCTGTTGTACTAGAAGGGGTAGTGCTGTCAAGTTGTCGCCGAGTGTGAGCGCTCTTTACCTCGCTGATACCGCTAGTTCTCCACATCCCGACCCGTTCGCCAAGCCTAAGCCGATCTGTTCTGTCATTGTGAGTAGCGTTCGGCGGCAGGCCTTCACGGCACAGCAAAAGCTTAAGATCATCGCCATTGCCGTCGTCGAGGAATTTGGAAGTCGCGAAGTGGGAAGACTGCACGATGTAGACGAGTCCTGCGTGCGACTGTGGAGAAAGAAGAGAGAGAGCCTACAAGCCGCGCACTGCGACCGTAGGTCATTTCGTGGCCCCAAGACTGGTGCCTACCCTGAGCTGGAGGTGGAGCTAGTAAAGTTCATCGAAGATGTGAGAAGCAGGGGTCACGACGTATCGACCGAGATGGCCCAAGTGCAAGGGCGGCGACTTTCGAGGGAGCTAGGTCTACCTCACGAGTTCCGTGCGAGCCGCGGACGGCTGCACCGCTTTATGAAGCGGCAAGGACTCTCAATCAGACGGCGGACTACAATATGTCAACGCTTGCCGGCTTCTTATGAGGAGAAGCTGCTCAAGTACCAGAGATATGTAATTGGCCTGCGAAAGCAGCCCAATTACATTTTCTCGCAAATCGGCAATGCGGATGAAACTCCTGTTCATTTTGAAATGCCGTTGGACACAACGATTGAGAAGACGGGCAGCAGTTCGGTGAGCGTGCTGACCGGCGGGAACACGAAACTGCGCATCATAGTCTTGCTTTGTGCCCTCGCCGACGGCATGCAACTGCGACTGTACGTCATCTTGAGAAGGAAAACTTTACCAAAGGTTCATTTGCCTGCCGGTGTGGTGGTGCGCGCACACGAGAACGCGTGGATGAACAGTGACTTGTTCGTAGACTGGATCAAGACGGTATGGGAGAAGAAGCCCGGTGCGATGCTCGCAAAGAGGTCTATGCTCGTTCTTGACTCGTTCCGCGACCACATAACTGAGGAAGTGAAGGACCGCCTTTCGCGCAACAGCACCGACTTAGTTGTTATACCCGGTGGAATGACGTCAATGTTGCAGCCTCTAGATGTGTCGCTTAACAAGCCCTTCAAAGCGCATGTCATACCCCTGTCACACGGGCACTTTAATGTCTTTTAAGTAAGCGGTCTTTTTCCGAAAAGGAGTTCCTGACAGCAGACACACGGCACAGAGCGAACTCCTTTTCAGAAGCGGTCTTTTTCGTAAGCGGAGTTCGTCGATTTCTTTTACGGCTCCGAATGAGTAGCCTCGAAACCAGTGGGCGCCAGCAATTTTCGAGTGGTGGGAAAAAAAGAGCGAACGCTTATTTTTCTGTCACCAAAACTCTTTGTAAAAACAAATTTCATATCCTGCAGAAGGTGTAATGAACTCTTTTAATGGTTTTTTTTTTCTACTCTCGTAAGCAGCTACAACGCGTCGGCAATATCACGTAGTGACGCTCGGTCTCGCCGCGCCATTTTGCACAAGCGAGGAAAGCGTGGCAGTCGTGTGTTTGCCCGTCATTCATGTGGTCCGAGTCCAAGCGTCTATGGCCAACTCCGCAGATCAAGCAGCCGGCGCCGCACGGAAAAGGCAGCGTCTGCAATGGTCGAAAGCAGACACGTTAACCTCTCCTTGGCGGCTTTTGCAGCGTCTGCCTCGCTTTCCAGAGCGAGAAGGCAGGCCGTGAGGCTTGCGATCCTCGCTTTTTCTCTCGTACAGTCGCCCATAACGTGTCGAGAGCAGTCAAGAGCAGCGAAAAACAAATACGGTAAATAAAAGCCCAGTGGTGCCAGACGGACTTGTGCACGTCGCTAGTTATGGGAATGCTTCCTTAACTAGTGCAACAAACTTTCACATTGGTGTTTCTTCATCTCTTATTCCTAAATTTATTCGAAGAAACGAGCAGTGCAACAAGTCTTTAATTTGTACATCGTGATACATCGTTTAATTTTCATTGCTTCTATTTTAACTGCTAGCGCCATGCTTTCGCTAGCGTCTTTGAACGAAAACGCTAAAAGGAGATCGTTGCTGCCGTGTGTCCGCACCGCAAACACCTCTTTGTTAAAAGTCTTTCAACTTCGTAAAATACCGCTTACTTAAAAGACTTTTTGCGCGCCCGTGTGACACAGGTATCAAGCGCTATTACACCGAGTGGATGAACAAAGGCCTCTACGACTTGACGCCGACAGGACGAGTCCGAAGGCCTGATATTGCCCTATTCTGCAAGTGGATTGTCGAGGCATGGAAGGCCTTTCTAGGTGAGATGGTGCGATAAAGTTTCAAGAAATGCTGCATCACAAACAACATGGATGGAACCGAAGATGACCTTGTGCATAGTAGTGAGGACTGCGGCTCAAGTGATAGCTCTAGCGAGAGCAGTGACAGTGAGTGAATTGTGACTGGCCTTGCAGACAGCGTATTCTGCTTGCTAAATAAAGCTTTTTCTGTCTACATATGTGCTATGTTGCTTTAGCAGTAGCTTTTGTTCAGCCTTTCCTGTATATCAATTGTGCGGGCAATACGCGAGGATTTTTTTTTTCTTTCTCGGTGAGCTGAAAGAGTGGGTGCGGATTATATGCAGGGGCGGGTTATTCGCGCAAAAATACGGTAGTACTTCTCAAAGCTTGTTATTAGTTGCTGGCGTGGGAATCTTATTAGCGGTCGCTTCAATTTTTTTCTCTCTCTGTACTTTTTCGCGGAAAAGTTTCCCCCTTGTAATTTTCACACCGCCGAACTTAGCATCAGTTTTCCGGTTAAGAAAAGAGTTTGAGGATTGCGCGAGTTGAAATGGTATATATCATAAAAATATTATGAGACCACGTCCGGTACGGCGGCAACTAGGTTATCTTTTTAATCCAGACGCACGAGCCAGAGAGCCAGCCCGCGTGACATACGATGACGATCACTGCAATGGTTTGGTCATACAGATGAAGTTGAAGTACATAGTCAGCCCTCACACTATTTCCCCCCCTTCGCGAAAGAGGGCAGCAAGTTAGAAAGGGTTGGGACGCCGAATATAGCGTTTCAGTCGAGAGACGTGGGCGATCTCTGTGTGGCGGCGACGGTGATCAGGAGCCGTGTTGACAGGAGCAACGCGATAGTTGACTTCAGATGTTCGTTCCAGGACGGTGTATGGACCGAGATATCGGTGAAGGAATTTTTCGCAGAGCCCAGGTACACGAACAGGTGTCCACAAAAGGACTTTGTCGCCTGGGTGGAACACAACAACTTGACGCTTCGCATCAGTGTCGATTTTTCTCTTGCCCTGAATGGTAGCAGTGTTGGCGCGGGCGATTTCACGGCAGCGGGCGACGCGAACGGCGAACTCTTCTGGGAGCGATGAAGATGGATTGGAAGATGTGGACAAAAAGGTGGTGTCCAGAACAAAAGTCGGTACACGGCCATACACGAGAAAAAAAAGGGCTGAAGTTCGTCGTACGCTGTATGGCAGTGTTATATGCGAACGTGACGAAAGGAAGTATTGTGTCGCAGTTTTTGTGATCCGGTTGCATGTACATAGAGATCATGTCGGACAAGTTAGGTGAAAACGCTCAGTCAGACCATTAGTTTCTGGGTGATACGCTGATGTGGTCTTGTGGATGGTGTTAGAGGCCTGTAAGACTTCAGCAAGGACATGTGAAAGAAGTGTCTTGCCACGGTCACTAAGGAGCACACGCGGTGCGCCATGTCATAAAATAATGGCGCGAAGGAAAAAATCGGCTACTTCAGAGGTAGCACCAGATGAAAGAGCTGCCGTCTCCGCGTAGCGAGTAAGGTGGTCTACGGCAGTAACAATCCAACGGTGAACGGCTGGCGTAAGCGGAAGAGGTCCGTATAAGTCTATGCCCACAAATTCAAAGGGAGTGGACGGGCACGGCAGTGGTTGCAATGGCCCCGCG